GACTCATCGAGAAAGACGCAAGTAGTTCTAAAGTCCATGTCCGTACACTCTCACTTATGAACCCAGTCAAAACGCTCCTGAATTTTTTCTTCACTGTTCCTATCTACAGGCTGGAATTGGGCTTTTTTGAGTGAAAAATTACATTCAGTTCTTACAAAATTGTAGACAGTGCTTTTAGAGGCCTTGAGATCCTGAAAATTTTGAAGTAGCCGCTCCATCACTTGCTCCAAGACGGCTGAAGAATTTTCATCTATATACTCCAAGACCACTTGCTTGTGTTCTTCTTGAAGTATACGCGAGCGACCGGTTTTCTTACGCTTTATAAAAACACTATCAGGATCCGTTTTGTACATTTGAGGCCATCTTTGAGCTGTGCGAACATGGATGCCTAATTGCTTTACAGCAGCTGAAGCACTCATAACTTTCTCAAACATCAGTTTAAAGAATCTAACTTTGTCTTGATCCGTATAGAGTGTGTACGCTCGCTTACTCGACGCCTCCTTCATGCAAACATCTGGGTCATCTTTTGCATTTTCATCTGCCACAGAGCCTACATCGAAATTATTCTCCTGAGGCTGATTATACAAATACTGAGTGTGTGAACTAACTGTTTCTAAAGCATATCGCTCCTCATCAATGATATAGTCCATAGGCTCAGGTCTGCCGTATTCATTAACTGCATTACCGTGCCCGTCTTTATAGAAAATTTGAAAGCTCATATTGTAACACTCGGTTTTTAATGAGAAACGAAGTAAAAAAAAAAAAAGAAAAAAAGAAAAAAAAAAAGAGCTAACGGTGCTTTCATGCTTAATATACTCATATTTTGTACGACAGGGCTCCTACATATACGACATTCAATTTGTTAGCAAGCGAAATCAGCCAATGGTTTACGTGACAATAGAATTTAACGAACGCGAATTTTACTCTTGGCATCAGTGTCAATAATTTTTGGAAATACTGTATATCATTCAGGTGGGGCCTATGCCCCTAGCTCAGTGGTCAAAAATCTATGATTTGAAGCCAAAGTCTTGCGTTCGAATCCCACAAAACCGCTCCCAATAGCTTACTCTTGAGGATTTTAATGCCGCTTTCTATGTTTCTCGGTTGTTGGTCGTTGGAAATAAACAAATTATGAATAATTGCGGTACCCGCCCAGCTTGAAATAAGCATGAACCCTAACACCACCAAGTCTTAGCCTACCAATTATAATGATTAATTTATCTCCCTCTACCCACCCCCCATTAGATTGTATGCTTTCCCCCTCCACCACCAGTACCTTCTCACCCCCACCACATTATACACCCCACCTTGTTGAACTTGCCCGGGCAATTTCAGTATAAAAAAAAAAATACTACGTGCCCACTTGGGTTTAATAAAAGATTGTTTAACCGTATATCATTCAGGTTCATCCTTTCCCTATCTCGGAATCCCTTTTCATTCAGGTGGCCATCTCGACACCATTGAACTGATTGCTAACAACAAGACTAAAGCCCTTACAACTATGAATCAACTCTCAGCTATTGGCATTCATCCCAAAGGTTTTACCCCTCTCTTAGCCACTCGTTTCTATTCCCAAATCGTTCGTGCCCAATTAGAATACGGGCTAGTCATTACCAAGGTTACCTCCTTCCTTAGCAAACAGTTGGACGACGCTCAAAACGCTTGCATACGTCGAATCTTCGGTGGTTTGCGCAATTCCTCCACAACAGTGATGCTACATCTGGCAAACATACCAACCATGCAGGAACGCGCTTACTCCCTTCAGTCCCAATTCCTTCTACGCACCTATACCCTTCCAGATGATGCACTACTTTCCCATCTACTCCCATTGATCCGCCAACCTAGAAGTCACTCCCAATGGTATAAACTCTCTAGGTCTCCCATTTGGAAACTATGCGCACCAAACCCAGAATCCCTTGATCGCCGCTCCTTACGCTTGATGCAAAGGAAGTTCCGCCAGGATAACCTCAATCACAAGCGCGCAACGCACGCCTCTGTTCTTCTGACGCACTGCCGCCCGACTACCTCCCTAGACCCTATCCTTTGGCTACCTATGACCAGATCTGAGAGAAGTCGATGCATACACTGGCGTCTTGGTTGGCTTCCTAGTGGTCATGACAAAACCTGTCCCCGGCACCCCAACCAATCCTTCACCAAAACCCACGCCATTCACTGTCTCCAGATGCACCGCCGACTTATGATGCCCGAAACAATTTCAGATCCATTATCCTTCCTTTTGAATATGCTACCTTCAAAGAAACCACGCTCCTTTCAAGTCGCTCTCCCATGGACCATTCGTTGGCCAGCTATCTGCACTCTTCTTCATGAACTTGACTACCTCCATCATCAGAAGTGTCCACCTTCTCCGCCCCCGCACCTTGGGCAAAAGCTCCTCAATTGGCTTCCTCGTTGTCCCACTAGTGCATCTTACACTTGCCCAAACATCATTTCTTCAATAATTTCTTTACCCTTGATCTCATAAGGGTTTTTTAGTTACCAATTCTTCATTCTTTTTTGATCTGCCTCGGGCGAAGAAGATATATTATTATCGTGCGCCCACTTGAGGCTTTAATTGTAAATAAAAGACTGTTTAATCGTATATCATTCAGGTTTATACAGCTTGGAACTCCTCTCTTGCTTCCTCCCTTTGTTTTTGTCCATAAAAATAAGTCTAATCTGAACCGTATGTGTACTTGAAGCTACTTCTTCAAATGAAGGAACTTTGGTGACTAAGGATACTTTTCTCTTCCAGAACATCAAAACTGGTAGAAGTGAGCGACCTTCTTTAGTTCGTCAAGGCACATTATATATCCCGGTAGGCCCTTCATTGACATAAGCAGTTTAAACTCCTTCAGTTTCATCACCACAACAGCACCTTCGACCCGATTAAAGCAGCCATAAGCATAAACACTAGGGTCTATAGTGCAATATATTGTTAACACATACCAGAAAGGTAAAATTCACTTCAAGTTTCATTTTACCAATCACTTGCATTAGCAGAATGCATATTGTACCGTATTGTTCAAGCGCGTTCACTCCAAATAGACAGAGCTGTAGTAAGTCTTTATGCGTTTTGACGCTATCTTTCTTTTTGTAGTCAGTTTTGGCCTCAACTAAACCAAAGTAGCCATCCATTCTTATTATTCTTAAAGCAACTATGATACATTTCAAATAATAAAAAAGAAATATAGATGTATATCGATGAGTTTCTAGATAATCACTTTATTGTGGATTAAGAAGAAAGAAAGCTCATTATTAAAAGCATCATGATTTTATATGCAAACAGGAGTACTACGTGCATTAATTACAACCAATAAGTGTTGAACACGTCTCGTCATATAAGAACAACATGTTTTGTTGTCAGTGTCTTTGTATTGTGCATGCTTGAAGTATAGATTTAGAGCAATCTTACCAAGTATTATAAAGTAAATTTGACAGTTTCTGAAAAATTTTTATCCACTGAATCACTAACAAAGCTATCATGACTGACGAATCGCAACAAACACACTCCAACAGCATTTTTCTTGGGGCATGCATGCATAATTCAATTGGACTTTTTGTTATGATATATCTTGCTGATGACTATTGTCATCTATATCAGAATGTGAGTCCTTGAAGTATATGGGATTCAAATAATGGCTATGAAAATATTGTTGACACTGTTGCTTTCAGCAATATTTAAAGTTCAAAAAAGAGAGCCTAGTAATGGTCTAGAAGGGAGATACAACGGTTTTTTTTATATGAATGACTGCTACACTCAACACAAAGAGGCTCCATTGAGAAGGATATGGAAAAAGATGCTCATCTTTAACAGAATTACTGTGCTTGATGCGAAACTCATTGATTCCTCTTTATAAGTTACTATTGTCAGCTGCATTATAGATGTTATCGAATAATAATGGCAAAGCACTTTCACTCATTACCATTTATCCTTGCATGTTTCATACCTTGACATATCGATTTCTCAGCAATAACAATATTCTACATGCTTATCCTACATCATCAATCCATAAATCAATCTATGTTCAATTATCCATAGATGCATGATTAGCAAACACGAGACGGAGATTGAACATAAGCTTAAATTTTTTATTCCCTTTTTAAATGCAATCTTTTCTCTTTTCTCTTTAATAGATGCTATGAACAGACAAGAACAAGAATTAGAAGAGTTTAGAAACGCATGGCGTCAAGAAGTTATACAAAAGAGACAACAACAACAAACAGGAGAGAATAAGCCTTCAATAGCTGAGAAACGACTCTCGGTTGCCGAGTCAAGTTTGGCAGAGATAATAGATAAAGCAGAATCATTGGCACTTACTGATAAAGAACCCGTGACAGCAATGGATCATTATGTGTTGGCCGTTGATAACGAAAGACAAGGAAAGCTTGGCCAAGGTACTCTTTTATTTTATTTTCTTGTCTATCTCTTTGATGTATTAACTTATATTCCGCAGCATTGGATAGCTATCGTCGTGCTTTTAAATTAGATCCAGATATAGACTTTGCATACAAGAAGCATTATCAAAATACAATATCTAAGCATCATGAAGCAGCACCACCTGCCACGACAAAGGAAGATAAGTTCAAGCACATTGTGCCGATTGGAAATGAATACGTTGCGCCTTCTTTATCAGTGCCAAAAGATCCATTGGCTCATTTGATAGAAGAGTTTTCTACTCAAGATACTTCGTATATACCCAAACTAGACTACAAACCTGTTTCTATAGCTAAATTACCAGGTAAAACAAAAATATATGCTGCTTGGTGAATGATACGAACGATGACCAATAGGCGAAATCATGCTTTATATACTACGCTACCTTGCACTCCACAACCTATCGACTATTCCTCATTTTGCACTAACCTGTAAAAAATTCTTCTTGTACAGCAGAGACCCTTCAGTCTGGCAATACGCTTGTGTCCACACATTCCGATTACCCTCCATGACCCTTGAGGAATCCAAAGCATATCAAACCAACCAAGTGATGCGACACTACGGCGGACAGTGGTTGCGAATGTTTATCGATCGACCACGCATTCGATATGACGGAGTGTACATCTCAACCTGTCACTATATTCGACCAGGTACCTCAGAAACAACCTGGAACCGACCGATCCATTTTGTGACATATTATCGATACTTGAGATTCTTCCCCAACGGCACAATCCTGAAACATGTCACAACAGACGAGCCAGCTCAGGTCGTTCGATTGCTTCAGCCGGGATTCCATCGTCAACAGGTCTTTATTGGCGAGTTTGTGCTGGAGGATGACGATCATGTACTGATCGATATGAATGATCCTTTATTGCCTAGCGAGAGCTTCCATATGTCATTGAAACTCAAAACGACACATCGAGGAAAGCATAACAAGTTGATTTGGGAAGAGTATAGGAGTTCGTCTTTAGTGCCTGATAGAGATGATTATGTGCATGATTTGAAGCTGTTGAAACCTTACTTTTTCAGTCCGGTTAGAAGCTATCGAGTGGATTATTCGGATGATCGTGATCAAGATTATTTATATTTTTAATACATAAACTTGTTGGGGACCTTCTTCCTAATAGAATGCCTTTGTTTTTGTACGTGTGTTTTGGTATTTATCTCCCTTCTTTGATGTACCCGAGTATCAAAGCAAAGGTAATCCTTGATAGATATATGTACATGATGTATAGTAATTAACGCACATTAATAAAGATCTCAGTGTAACAAAAGTATATCATAATATCATTTTGATTATCAGACATTGATTGTCTCCGTCATTAAACAATGAGGTTCTCTATATATAAAATCAAGAAGGGGAAAAAAAAAAAAGTCAATAGAGGATAAAGGGATAGTTGAGAAAGGAAGGGGGGATGTAAACTCCTGTTATAAAGAAACACTTTTTATCTACTCCCTTTTTTTATAGTCTCTTTTTCTCTTCAATGGATATGTATAAAATAAAGCGCTATTGTACAGAGAATAGAATGATACAGACTATAGCTGAACATCATGTACTTCGTCGTTCTTTTATATGTTTTCTCATTTTAGCAATATTATTGACCATGATTGGTAAGTTATTGAATACAAGACTGCCCTGTTTTGACTGTATATTTTTCAGTGCCCACTTGGCAAGTTTATTTAGAAGAAGGAAGGTAAAAAAAAAAAAAAAAAAAAAAAAAAACCATAAAGGACTATATAATCAAACTCCCATTCCAATTCTCGTTTTATAGATCATCAACACTCATCAGCTTTAATGAACCAAATATACGAGGAGAATCATTATATATAGCAGCCTCTGTTCTAAACGTGAATTTTTCAGAAAAGAGATACACTGTTAATTTCTCGATCCAACCCAATGGTACGCTAGCGAACGAATATGGGCAACTAAAGTAAGAGAAAAAAAAAACATAAAAAGAGACAATCTAATGTTGAATGAAACGTTCATTAGCCAACAAGTCACGTTAAGATTCTCATCATTGAGAAGTTATCACTACGATATTGGCGAAACAATTCATCCTATCCAGGTGACGTTTAGCTATGAAGATGGCAACCAGATTGATTATCCACTTGATATTTATTCTGGCAATCTCGAAATATTCGCGTTTTACAAAAACGATACGACCAAGTCAATACCCATCACTTTTCACTTGGATGCGAGCATCACGTCGTTTCATTTTATGCCTTCGATAAAGCATAATCCTGTGGTTGAAGATGATGGTAATGATGTACCATTCGTAAGTGATAAGATCAGTCTTCAGATATCAACAGGTCGATCAACGACCACTTTGGTCTTTTCTATCTTTATCTGTATTTTGATGTGGTTACTATCCTTAGTCATGGGTCTATTTGGTTACCAAGTGGTGTTTAGAAAGAGAAAAGCAGATGCTCATGCTTGCATGATTGGTATCACTACTCTATTTGCACTTCCTGCCGTTAGGTAATTATTGTTTCAGAATATAAAGTACGGTATTAATATATGATCTAGGTCAGCTCAACCAGGAATACCTGAAGTAGGCACAGTGTCTGATATTCTAGGATTTTATTGGTAAAGAGTAAATGTTTATATATAACAAGACGGTTATTGATCCTTTATATATTTATATAGGAATATGGCGATTATAGCATGTTCAAGTATAGCTGTTACCATGTGCTGGGTCATTCGATGGGATAATCCTATGGATAGAGACAATAAAAGAAATATGTCTATAAGTACTTGTGTAGATGTTCCATGATCAACTTACAAAAGAGGTAATCTATCCACATCATATCTCACTGTTTGTCATGGCAATGAGCTCAAAAAAAAATAAACCTTGTTCAATGACTGACTAAGCATTGTTCATTATGTTACGCGAGCAATCTCAAGAAATGCGCGTGAAAAATAAGGGTCAAAAAAAGAGTTATGCCAAATGTAAAAAGTGGTAATGCCACGTTTTTTTCTTTCTTTTTCTGTAAGCAAGTATTTTACAGTCCGTCAAGTCAATAAAATTAAAAGGCCGAAGAAAAAAAAGGCTTTCTTTTATTTCTTCATGTCTATAGGCTCTTCATTACCACCTTCTACTTTAACAGAGGCATTCAAAGCTCACGTTCAAGCCACTATTCGGCTCACCAAAGTAGTACTCGAACTGGAATGGACCATCTTTACGAGGTTTATTGTAGGTGTCATCGTGGCTACTTTCTTATCTATCATATATCTTGTTTGGACCTTGCGTAAATCAAGACGACCTCTTGTTATTTGGGATAGATTAAATAAACCCATCATAAAATTGTTCAGACCAAGAATATTTGCATTTTTGATGCGAAACTCAAATCCTTATTCAGGATCGATTGGTAAGAATGATATATGAAGACATATAAAAAAGACTCATGGCGTGTGTATAGATATGACAATTACAACCTTTTCTCGAGGATTCTGTACAGGATTTATGCGTGTAATGTGTATCAGCGTATTATCAACATGTTACTGATGGATTTATTTGTGTATTATAGGATCGTCATTATAATCGAAATACATCAAAAAGGTGAGATTATGCGTGTGCGTGTGTGTATAAAAGGAAGGATGTATTAACAAACTGTTGTAAGAAAAGTATTCACGCAACTGCACTTGCTACATTTGCAGAAACAGTAGGCGAATTGGGATTATTAAGCAGTTTATCGGATGATAAAGACGAAGTTAGCCTTTCTTCCCTAGAATTAGAGGTAATAACAGTAACAATATTCAAGCCTCATTCTAAAAAGTATTATGTATGTGTAGTTTAAAAAGAAAGCAAGAGGATTAATTACGGCATCTACAGATTTTACAATGCCTGAAATCACTGAGGAGAAGCAGGAAGTGAAGATGGATGTCATTGTTAAGGATCGTATGCTAGATACAGTGGCAATAGTTCACCTCGTTTGGACTGTCAATAAAGGGCAATAACGTAGCTATTCACATGTAATAAATATTTGCTTTGTGTACGATTTTAGCTTTAAATTGTGTGTACCATTGCTCAACTGCTTATGTATATTCATGGTCGTACTAATCGATTGATGTAAAAAAAAGTGGAATTCTTGCATATGAATTACATACGAGATCCTTTGTTCTATTCTGTAGCTTGTATAAAAAATTACAAATGATGATTGGATGATTAGCTAAATAAAGACTTGTACGTTCCGATAATCTGTAAAAGTCTACTTGTATCATCAACATGATAAATGCCTACCACTATTTAGCGGACATTAGATATGCCTACTCTTCCTTGTGCTTTCCTGACTACACTTGGCTATTTCTGTGCTTATCGACTATCGAATAAACATTGTCGGGGAAGTTAATTAGTAAAATATTGCCAGTCTACGGCCGAACTTAATATTAACATGTAAATGCTATGTATTTATACCATTTATAATTTACTATTCAAAAGGCCAATCATCATTTCGTTCAACTGAACATATTACCCACGAGATTAGATCAATTCACAAAGGAGATTTATCATTACTTAGATCTCTCTCTTTCTCTCTCTCTTAGCCATCGTTCTTTAGAGGTTCAATAAGAGTTTAGTGTCTTGAAATATACTTTGCAACATTATACGCAATGCCATCTATTAACATATGTTTAGGATGCTGCTTACCAAGATAATTTTCCAGTACGTACAAATTATCTTAACCATCGTTTCGTTTTGTGTTAGCGCTAGCCTGCAAAAAGTCAAGGTTTTGGCGTGACAATCATTTAGCAGTGTTATTTTCAGCTTAATGTTTATAAAAGTTAATCAAGTCGACGATAAGTAAAGTAAATTATTTATTGAAAAGAAGCCAAGTGTTATTATTATTATAAAGGAAAGAGAAAAAGATGACCAATTATATATGTTTAATATCGGATACAATAAAGACATAGTGAGTAAAAATATATGCTCTATTCTAAGACTATATTCGACAACTCTAATGGCTTTAACAAAAAGTTGTGTTCGCTCTAGTTATATTGTAACTGAATTCCCCTTGGATAAAAAGGAGAATTTATTCTTTAGATATTGAGTAGGAAAATCTATTACTTCAACAGAGTAATTTATGAGCTCAACTCTGTGCTCATCATCAACGTGTCACTTTGGCTAAGAACGTTGTATACTCTTTTCTATGTAAAAGGAGAATTTTCATTAAAATGTGTCATCTTTTTGGATCAAACGGCATTATTTTTGGATCCAGAAAGAGAATTTTTCTTTTTGCACTACATCAAATTATATACATGTCAAATTTAATTCCGCCCATTTCCTTGTGTGTGTGCCTCTATAAAAATAGCATCATCAATGAATGACCCACATAATTTGAAGAACAAGCAAAAAGGAAAAGAGAAGGTGATCTAGTTGTAATAGATATAGAATGTACATGTGATCTTTAAAAGGGAAATCCAGATGACATTTTTAAAATGGATATTATGAAAACATGAACCAAAAAGTCAAGAGAGAGAGAAAATATGGAGTTTTAATTCGAGGCAGCAACGACACACGCACACAGAGAGAAAGAGAGGCAAAGAAAAAAAATCATCTCAGTTGCCCTTTTTTTTTTGTTGTTGAATATTTTTAAATATAGAATGTCTGAAAATAATCTGTTTCAATTTGCTCAAGTCATCACTGAATTACCATTACATACAGCCTCTCAACAACACACAGATACGCCCATGTCTAATTACACACAGAGATACATTCATATAAGAAAAGTAAAAAAAAAGAAAAAATTAAAGTTTTACATATTTTAATATAAGTACATGATAGAATGCCTGTATTGTATGTAGTAAATGCTTTACCTGTTCCAAGGCAAGTATACATGTACCTGTTTTAATCAAATGTTAGTTAAAGGCAAGTTATATTTATTATTTTTATATAGTATTATGGTATAGATTGTAACTGTCCTGAGGTTCAGCCACGAAGGGGGAAGAACTTACCTGAAGGTGGGTTAGATAGTCGAGCAAAGAAACTTCACAGGGATGATCCAGATTATGAATTCTCTATCAATTGGATTAATGAAAATGCACATACAATGTATAAAGATGAAAATGACACGGTCATTGGCTTACGAGATTTATCGGAGGTATCACTTTGTAAGGCACATTCAAGCACCCTGTACAGAGCCAAAAAGCGACATGAGCGTATGTTAGTCACACCACCTTCACCTGCAGATTCTTCTATACAGTATAATCCTTATCCCATGAATCAGTCGATTGGCTCAGGGGGGTTGGCTGCCAAAGTAAGGGAGATATCCACACAGTATAACCAAGTGCTTCCTGTACAACAGCAACAACAAGACGTGCCAGACTTTACAAGGATGACACCATCCCATTCTGCTAAACGTAAAAGGTCAAGTAAGCCATTGATCAGAAAGACAGGTAGTAAATCAACCGATTTGAGACACTCGGCGAGACCTCACTCTAGTATGTCCACTCCATTGTTCAATTCACGCATGTTTGTGGATAATCCAATGAATGGTCCAATAAACAATCAAGATTTTATGCAACAAGTCAATCAGTTCCCTTCGCAACTACCTCCTCTTCACACAAGGAACAATAATGAAAGTAACAGTACTATGCTTTACAATGACCATTTGAAAATTCAACAACAACAACAACAGCATCAAGACATGGATTACACCAACAGCAATATGGCAACAAGCAATAATAATAATATTCCCATGGTGGTTGAAACAGTATCCCTTCGACCTTCCAACAGTTCAGATATACCTTCCAATTATTATTTCCGTAATCTAGCCATTACGGACACATTTACCTTTAGAGACTTATTAAATGAAATTGACATTACAGGTTCACCTCCTCCTGGTAAACGTATCGTCATTTCAGATGAGCACAAGATCTATCCTCTAGATCAAGCTATAAGAAGTGTCATCAGAAGACCCACTTCGACCCATTTGGATTTATTTCTTGGATTGACTGATAAACCTTCTATCAATTGGAATCATTATTCCTAAAAAGAAAAAAATAAAAATAAAATTAAACAGTAGCCAATAAGATCAAGATGACTAATAACCTCTTTACTATACTCTTTGCGTGCACATATAAAATAGAAATTTTTATTGTCCCTTTTCTTTCTAATACTTAATTCAGTAATGAGTAAAGAACAACAACAACCAAGATTAGAATTAATTGACCCAAAAAGTAAATAATAACAATAACACAACTTCAGAATGTGTATTTATATATTTATTATGTAAATATAGATCAAGTCCTTCAGGTACCAGAGTTTCCAGCTAGAAACGGACCACAACGCCTTATAGCTGCTGCTACCAAACAACCTCGTGGTCGAGAAAAGGTCATGTTGGAACCAGGTCATTCACCTTTAGACTGGGCCAATTTAAAGGCTTCCGGAAAGGATTTAAGGGTAAAGAATAAAGTGATCAAAGCACAGTCATTGACAATCAATAGGGTGTACCAGAACTCTGTAGGGTAACCCTAGATGAACTCAAGAAACACAAGAGTCCAGAGGATGCATGGACTGCGATTCAAGGCAAAGTATACAATATCACACCTTACTTGAAGTTTCATCCGGGTGGGGTCAAAGATTTGATGCGTGTGGCCGGAAGAGACGGCACTAGATTGTTTAGTAAGTTTGTTAATGCGGTCTGAATGATGGTTATTCACATCTATTTAGTGTTGACGCATTCTTGGGTAAACACTGATTATTTATTGGATAAATGCTTGGTTGGTTTCCTGGTTCCTTCATAACATATACCCTTTTTTGATCTATCCCTCAACGTCATACATTGTATCACATTTTATGTTTTTGTTATCTTTCCAGAAATGCATATATCTTTTTTTCTTTTCTCATTAAAATGTCTTCATATTCTAAAACAAAGATTGTTGAACCTAAGCGTCAGGTTCGAACCACCTTTTGGAATCCACGCATTGATCCAAATATTCAATTCTTGGTAGATCAACCTACTTTTTCTAGACCAAGGTTATATACATTCATGAGAAAAAGAATAATGTAAATTATTGACCCTGATTTATATAGGATGTACGACTATTCCGATGTTGCTTGGGATAAAAACTTGGATTTCTGGTATCAAAGAGAGCCAATGACTGAATACTATTATTCTTACAAACAAGAATATGTTCGAAAATAAATTATGACTCAAAATGTCATTTCGATGTCAGTTCTCCTTTTTGGATGACGTTTAAGCGATGTCAACCCTTTATCTTGCTTTTTATTTTACTATGCAACTTTATCCCCTTGTCGTTAGTTGGAATAGGGAATGAAATCAAGAGTGAAGGAGAGAAAGGAAAAAAAAAAAATAAAAAAGAAAAAGAAGGTGAATTGATCCGCTATCAGGGCCTCCTCTGTTTCTCTTTCCTCTTTCTCTCTCTTTCATCCCTAAAGAAACAGGCCATTTTTTTTCAAAGCGTCTATTTTTTTAGCCGGAGCTCAATCCGATTTTATCCAGGCATTAATAAGATTTGGTGAGCGAGAACTGAGTTTCTTTTTTTTTCTCTCTACTTTTTATTTTAAAATATGCCTTCGATTGTATTAACACCTGAACAAGAAAAGACAAGACAAAACATTTACTGGACAAGTGGTTTAAAGGGTGCTGCTATCGGCCTTGGTCTTGGTGCTGTAGCTACTGTCTTTACTTTACGCCGATCGCCTGAATTCAGATCACTTAGTCGACCTCTTCAGTCTATCTTGGCTGCTTCCAGTAAGATTTATAAAAACCAATAACAAGTTCAAACTAAACTCATCTATTTAGGCTCAACCGCTGGTTTCCTTTTTGCTTCTGATTCTGCCGTCACACATTATGAAAACAGAGAATTAGGCTATACAGATGAAACAATGCTACAATCATTGATGCATAAACGCCAGGATGAGACAAATATGTCTGCCTTTGATCGATCATTACATTACTTGAATCAAAACAGATGGACATTTATTGGTAAAAAATCAATTATATAGAAAGAATAGGAACAGATATTCATCCCCATTTTCTAGGTCTCTCATGGGCTGTGTCCATGGCGGGTGCACTCGGATATAGTTTCTCCAACAAATACTTGACTACACAACAAAAGGTCGTTCAAGCTCGTATGTATGCTCAAGCAGTAACAATTGCTGTCTTGATGGCATCGGCTGGTATTTCCATTTATGTGGGTGAGGATGAAAAGAACAAGAAGGAAGCACCCGATCCACAATTGAGAGCTGTTCTTGAACTTCCTTATACCGATGCTAAAAAGCCTGACATGGCTAAATCCTCTTAGATATAAACTTGCCTAGATAATAATAAACTGTATGTGTAATTGTGATGTGTGTGTATATGCAATGTAATTATCTTTATGTCAAGGGTTCATTGTCTACCAATGAAATCTTGCCCTCTGCAATCTAAATAAAGACATGATTGTATCAATCAATGTCAATATTGAATATGTAAAAAGCTATTCAAAAGAAATTTGTTATCAGTCATAAAAAAGAGACAGCATTGCTCCTTTCACATAAGGATCCTTCCCTTGCTTTCATGGACAATTTTTTAGCAAGTCACTCAGAGGAGGTGCTACGTCATTGGGCCTTCAATTTTTTATTATTAGGACGCGCTTTTAATAACACTTTTCTCTCTTTTTTTCTAAATCACATATACAAGGATGTTTTGTGCTAGTAAGTTTTTTTTTTTCTTTTTAAAAAAGTCAACATCAACTCAACATTTGCATTAGTTTCTGGAGAGGCACCTGAACAACCTGTTGTATCTATTAAATCTGGACATGTCTTTGAAAAGAGATTGATTGAAAAATACATTTCTGAACATGGCAGAGATCCTGTCAATAATGAAGAAATGACAGAGGAAGATTTGATTGACGTTAAAACCAGTAAGAAAAGCAAATCAAGAAGAAATGTAATAAACATTGACTTTTTTTTTAGCACCTGAAACTGTCAAACCTCGTCCTCCCAAGTTAGCTTCTGTACCTTCTCTTTTATCTGCACTTCAAAACGAATGGGACAGTGTGATGCTCGAGTCATTCACTTTAAAGCAGCAGTATCAACAAGTACGTCAAGAATTATCCCATGCTTTGTATCAGAATGATGCTGCGACTAGAGTCATTGCTCGCTTAAAGAAGGAGCGTGATGCCGCCAGAGAGTAATTGAAAACTTTAAAAAAGAATGCAGTAAATTAACTTTAAATATAGAGCTCTTGCAAATGTACAAGCTCATTTAGGTACAACAACAGCAACAACTGCAGCTCCAGCTGGCCAAGAAGAATCAATGGATGTCGATCAACCCACTTTGCCTGATGAAGTGATTGAAAAGATGAACACAACGAGCGCAAGGTAAGGGAAAAAAAAGTGTATATATATAAAAGAGATTAAACAATAAAAAAAGATTGTCAGAGATGCGTCGTGGAAAGAAGAAGCCACCAACAGAGTTTGCCTCGTTAGAGACCGTCAAGGAATACGCTCAGACATCATCCATTCCCTCACTCCACTCAGCTCGTTCAGCTGGCATCACAGCAATGGATGTAGATTCAACTGGAAACTTCATTCTTACTGGTGGAAATGACAAACATGTTCAATTATACAATAAGAGTGAAGATAAAGTAGTTGTCAATCTTCCTGGCCATACCAAGAAGGTCACTGCAGTTAAGTTCAGAGGTCAAGAAGAAAGTGACTTGTTGCTCAGTGCTAGTGCTGATAAACATGTTCGTATCTGGATTCCTGATGAAAAGAAAGGTATGTGTGCATATGTGTATGTTTTGAAGTAGGACTGACCCTGATGTCTCTTAGCTTACAAGCTTGGTCACAACATTACTGCACACAAGGGCGACGTTGTAGGTCTTTCAGTCCATCCTTCCAAGGACTACTTTGTGAGTGCTGGTAGCGATAGCAAATGGAACTTTTACGACTTTGAAACCGCAAAGGCTATTGCTGAAGTCACTGACAGCGAAAACCAATCTGGTTATACTTGTATCTCGTTCCATCCAGATGGTAATCTTCTCGGTGCTGGTACAAACGACTCTGTTGTTCAAATCTGGGATGTCAAGTCTCAGAGAATTGCTGCCAACTTTGGCGAACATACTGGCAAAATCAATGCTCTTGCATTTTCAGAAAACGGGCAAGTGCTTCTTGTGTTTTTTCCCTTTTTTTTGTATTAATGTTTTTCCTATAGATACATTATTGCTACTGCCTCAGAGGACAATTTGGTCAAGTTATGGGATCTTCGTAAATTAAGCAACACAAAGACATTTACGTTAGACGAAGGATATAAGGTCAACACACTTGCATTTGATGACTATGGACAGTTCCTTGCTGTTGGTGGTAGTGACGTGCGCGTGTTCAAGGCTAAAGACGGATCCCCCGTTACTACCTTCTCGGATAATACCTCAGATGTCACCGGTTTACATTGGTTGCCTCTTGCTCAAGGTTTAATAAGTGCCAGTTTGGACCGTACGGTTCGCTTTTATGGTCAAAGTTCTTAATAAATAAAAAAAGACGCTTTTTTTTTGAAGGGTATTTTTCGTTTACAATAATATGCATGTGTGTATATGTGTGTATAAAAATTTACATAATAATAATAATAGTAATAATAACCATGTTAGGCAGTCATTGTTCGTGGTAGAGGGAACTCTGCTGATAATGGATGCACTGAACTCGTCGATTTAATTGGCATCAAGTAGATTCCAGTCAAGTTGTCCTTCTTGCCTTTTTGGTCAGGAAACCTATAGACCAAGACAGGGACATGAGACGAGGGATATGATGGCTGAGTATCCTTCTTTTCTTCTGTCTATAAGAAAAAATTAAGTATAACAAATACACACATATATATACACACACACAACTTACATGATGAATTGCCATAAAGTTAATGCCTCCTCCCAGGTTGGTTTTGGCTTGTAGGTTCTTTGGAAGGATAGGCGAGCCTGTGCTTTTTTGGAAGAGTTCCATGATCTTGTCCTTATACGTTCTTTCGTGCGGCTCTTCCTTGACATCACCTTGATTGTCCTTCTCAAGTGAGGGATTGGTGACTGTCATTGGCTTCCTTGGCAGGATAGATGGAGCAACAGTAGAGGTAGGCTCGGAAGCCTTTCTCAGGATAGAAGTGACCACAGGCACTTGTCGCTGTGCTCGGGTATCTGGTTTGCCCCTACCACGGCCACCAGAAAGAGGATGCCTGGTGTCAAACGACGAGGCAGGGTCATTGAGCGTCCAATAGAGAGGGTATCTGACATCAAATGGCAAGATAGGGTCATTGAATGTCCAATGTGGGGTCGGTCCACGCTTCTCCAACCAGAGAGGTAACCCTGATTTGCCAATGGAAAGCATAGATGGAGGTTCAGCCTTGGGCGCCAACTCTGACCAGTCATACACCTCCTCTGGCTCGCTCACATCTAGCCAATCATATTGATGATTAGGTTCCGTCTCTTCTGCATCTAGAATCGAGAACTGGTTTGTATCTTCAATGGGCGACTTTGGATGCACCGAGTGATGATCGAAGGTGTGTCGAGGTCCAACCTTTTTGTCAAGAGCCGAGAAAGCACCAGACAGAGGCGCGCCAGAATGACTGGGTGACGACCCGCGTCTCTGTAATCCGACAGTGGGTTTTTCTTGTGAACCGTGATCTGGAGATGAAGGATGGCGAACAAAGGAAGACGACCTGCGTCTTTGAAACACTTGTTCAGGAGGCATGCCATGAGAAGAACGACGAGGAGGAGCAGTAATTGATACAGTTTTTTTTTGCTCCTCTTTATGCACAAAGGATTGATGTAAGCGCATCGTATAATCATTCCAAGAAGTGTCACCGTTGGGTCGTCTGGAGGGCATGGATTTGGATGCCCTCATATCTTCTGCATAATTTGACCAGTCCTTCTCGTCATCTGCAAGCGTTCGTTCTTCTTTGGGCTTGGCTGCTAGAGACTCGGCCTTTTGTCGAGCACGTTGACGTGCAGCTTCAAATGCAGCTTCTTGCTCTTCATGACGCCTTTGAGCGCGCTCAACAGCAGCTACCATAGCGTCCTTTTGATCAGGCGATTTGGTCTTTTGTAGAACAGAGTAAGCAGAAGGTTTACTCGGGCGACGGTTCCATGAACCAGAACTTTGGCGACGATCAAACGGACGGCCTTCGTAGGTCGATTTCTTGGGTGATTCTTCTTGAAGGGTAGATTTCAGCTGAGGAGGATAGCTACGATCATAGTCCTCAGAGAACCGTGTCTCTGGCGATACATCATTTACAGGGAACTTGGCTCCATCTTCAAATTCAATCACATCTACAGAAAATTCTTCCATATCTTCATTTACCATCTATATTATCAAGAATGAATTATTACGAAAAATAACACGATAGAAAGAATGTATGATTACTTCATCCCAAGAGAGTCGACCCATTTCGGACGTAGTGTGTTTTTCCTAATAACAATAAGTATGTCTTTTAGAAAAAAAAAGTTGACTTTACTACTACCATTGGTTTGTCTTGTTCTATCAAAAAAAAAAAAGTTAAAAAAGTCCGAACGCATAATAGTTCTTTAATCTCTTACTTGGCTTGGGATCAGTTTCGAAAGGAGCAGAAGAAGGAGTTGTGGGATGGATAGACGATGTTGGAATAGCAGCCCATGCACGAGTATCAGGATGTGTGGCTTCCCAACTGATAGAAGGAGAAGACGTAGGTGCTTCAGTAGCATGGCCGTTGCCATTAACGCCGCCATGCTCACTTTTAAGACTGGGCAAATTGATAGGAAGAGGTGCAGAGATCTTGCTGGAAAGCATACGCTGCCGAGCATGTGAACTGCGGCCTATGACAAATGTTAGATCGTGTGCTTTTTTAATTGTAGATTTTATTTGATCTTTTTTTTTTTCGTACCGGTAGTATTTAGTGATGTTGCAAACTTTTTTGAAGGTGACGTAGCGTTGAATAATCGTGGTGAATCAGAAGCCATGTTTATATAAATGACACGCACAACAAGTTGAAGGTTAAAAGACGAAAAAAGAAATGAAAAGAAGTGCAAAGAAAAAAAAAAAAAAAGTCTCAACCCTTTGTTCCTATTTAGATCCACCCCCACTTTCCTTTGCAGTTTACCAAAAAAGGAAATAAACTGTTTGCAGTGCTCACAGTGCCCAATTTGCGCGATTTCAAACTTTTTACAAAGTTTATCTAAAAGCCATAAACTATGCGTGATATTCTTAAAAACACTTATTCACTTGAACTCATTTGATAGCTTGTGCCGTATTTGCTTTATAAATACTTGGTGAGATTATTATAAATCTATATTCTAAGAATGAATAATACAAAGAACTGACAACAGACCATGTTGTTCTTATATAACGCGACATGCCCAATTCTCATTGGCTACGTATTAATCCTGTTTGCATAAAGATGCTGTTTATAATAATGAGCTCTCCCCTCTTTTGTCTTAATATACAATAAAGAGGCTATCTAAAGACTCGTCGGCATCTCTAATTACTTTTTTTTATTTATAAGTATGCAGAATATTAGAAATCGTGCAAATTGGCATCCTAAGCACTGTATTGTTATTTTCTTCCACCTAAAGATACGCTGTCTGGAATCAAATAACTGTGGAATAAGTTGATGAGAGCCATGATGGTCATAATATAATATATAAAGTGATAGTCGAATGGATATATGTGTCCGTCTTTTAGTGAATAAGACCATATTGTTCCTCCAAATGTTGGTGCTATATATAGAGAATGTGTCAGTCTCAAGGGGAAGCTTTTGTTTTTTGTTTACCTATAGCTCTTGTGAGAGCAACACACGATTGACAAAAGCTATCGTAGTCGAGAATTAAGTGTATATACATTTTATCAATAGATTTGTGCGCTTACCCATTGACTGTGCCTATTATTTCAGGTGCAGCCGAGGTACTCACCTAGAGATATAATAAGTATCACTCATGTAATCTTATGTGTACATGCTGATATGCGCTGTGTCACGTACCATGATACCCAAACTAGTGAAAGCAAGACAGTTTGCAAAAAATCGCCAAGCAAGAATGAAGTTGTATGTTACTTCAAAGGCTGTACTACTAGCCCACGGATCGCTCATATGTTGCATCCACCAACGCTTGCACACAGTCAGTTCAGGAAAGACGAAGAAAACGGCCACACATATGGAAAAGAAAAATCTACAAAGTTTAAGTACATCGAAGCGCCGTGTTAAGCCTGGATAAATCTTGAATTGAACAACGAGCTGAAGGATGCCCATGGTGGTAAGCATTTTGGCAAATTCAGCAGATGATAGACCAAGGCCTTCAGCAGAGCTGGGGGCAGTGAAATAAAGTGGAAGCACCTCATCAAACATGAGCGAATAAAATGCAAATAATCTAATAGAATGAATCAGTATATATAGCATATCTTCATTTCTCTTCAAAACTTACGCATAAGCAAATATGACATGAAGTGATGCTTTACTGATTTGGCCAATCCCAGGTTTGGGGCTTGCTTCTGCTGCCAACGTGTCATTACTGTTCAAGAGAGATACTTGTTCGCCGTCTTGCTGCTTTTTGAGAACCATCGGGTTTGACTCTTTTAAACACATATATGTAATCATGAATCCGATGAGTGAACCTGTAGCTGACACAAAACATGGTAAAGAATAAGGGTATTCTTTTAGAAATGCGTTGGATCCAAATAAGGAAGGAAAGTGATCCACAGGATGATTCAAAAAGCCGCCTACCCCAAATAAGTATTTTTATATTTCCCTTTCTTATTCTAATAGATTTACCTAATGCAGGACCTACAGGTTACAGCCATCAAGAGAAATAATAAGAGAAAGTGTATATATTTAATGAAAAAATCACTGCTTACCGGCTATCACACATTGTTAGCTTTCTTTCTTTACAAAATATGAACCTACCAATCATGCCAATTCCCCAGCACAGACCAAATAAAGAAAATGCGGCTGCTCTATTCGTATGATCAGTGATTTCACTGACCATGCTCCGTGCAACACCTGAGTTTCCATTCATGGCACCGCAAAAGGCTCGAGAACCAATTGCCCACCAGATATTCTTGCTTAAACCAAACATACATACCGATATAGCATTGCCCAGCATTCCTATAAGCAAGACAGGTCTGCGTCCGTACCGATCAGAGACCTTTCCCCACGATATAGCCGTGCAGAACTGCGCAACAAAGAAAATGGAGGCTAGAAAAAGTGTGTCAGCTGGATGTATATCATATATCACTTGACGTGGCCGTACTGATCCATCCTGCGTATGCTCCAATTTCTTTTTCGTCATCTGATAGGTGAAAATCCTTGAGCTAAAAATAACTTCAGTGTGAGTGTTGATGTAACATCATTAATTTAGTTACCATAAAATATATAAAAGGAAATAGAATGGTTGATGTTAAGGGTTCACTAAATAAGATGATGCTGATGATGAATAACTGAAGTTTAGGTAAAGGTGTTATCTTGGGTGGCTCTGGCACTTCTTCCAATGAATCATAGTAAAGTGATTGATAACTTTTCGTTCTTGATCCAGGAATATAGGATTCATTTTCTATAGAAATGGGATAAGAACGAATTGAAGAAGAATTATCATCAACGATGCTGTTGGTATAACTCTTGGTTAATGTGTTTTTCTTGTTCATGAATTCAAGAAAAAGAAAAAGGGGTAAGCTAAGGGAAAAAAGAGAGAGAGAAGGAGGAAATTAATGAGAATTCAAAAGTACTATTTAAGGTGGAGAAAGCTAGGCAGAGAAAGAGAACTCCGGCTTAACCTCAAAGCCATAGAGAGTCATCCAGACTCAAGGGCTGTGTGCATATCTGAGTCAAGGGAAAAAAGACTATTGGATGTTGCTTTGCATATGAATGCTACAGACATATCAAAGGAAAAAGGGATCCGTTCCTGGCGATGAGGATGCTAAAATTAATATGATCAAGAGTTTCCTTTCCGAGAATAATTGCTTCCCCTTTTAAAAAGTCGTTTGTCAAGAAATAATTTGTCCTCCAAAAAGAAATGAAATGTCGGCAACTGTAGGTTAACGCTGGTCAAAAAATATGTTTTTTGATTACGAGTAATATTTTACATTGTTTAGAGCAAGGCCTTGGATAACAATATATATAATATAAACACCTTTACGAATTTTTAAGCCCGATTGAAGAATGTTGGTTAGACACCAACTTAAAACTTACGCCGCGCATTGTTGAAGCTTATCAACCAGTTATTGTTTGGGGTAGATCAGACACGCCAAAACATACTGAAGCAGATGTATAAATGAGAATTATATCTTAAATGACCACAAAATAACAAAGTGTCTGTCACAAAATAGATAATTCTGTCTAGAAAATCTTTGAAAAGGTTTGATTTGTAAAGGCAAAAGTGTAGTTTAAAAAACAAAAGCGTCCAGGCCAGAATCAATACAAGTATTGAACCAATATTTTGGAATTGATATTAGGAATCGTTATCTCTCTGTGTCCACCTCTGTGTCAACCTCTGTGTCAACCTCTGTGTCAACCTCTGTGTCAACCTCTGTGTCAACCTCAGTTATGTGTGTTGGTCTTCACAGCTTTTTTATAACTGTCATATGGTCATCATAACTAGAGAGCAGGCATTCTGTATGCTTCATTGTGTACCCTATAATGACGAAAATGCCAAAAAAGTATACTTAAATGGTTAATAATTTAGGAAATTTATAAATCTGTTATATGGAAGATCCGATGGAACCTATAGTTATCTCGAATCTCAAAATCAATAACCAGCCTTTCCGTTATAAAAAGGGTTAGAATCTGTTGCTATAACAAATGAAGATAGTAATCGATTCCGTCTTGGTAAAGGCCATTTATTTCTTTTTAAAGCAGCAACACCCAATTCTAATTTGTATAGTTGGCTATGCTCAAGCAATTGGCTTCATTAATTCAGTATATCTTCCTTGTGATCCAGTAATTCCAGAGGTATATGAATGCAAGAAAGCCAAAATAAAGGATATACTAACTTTGCTATGGAAGTATCCCAATTTATTGATGTACACTACGCCCACAAAAAAATCCACGAGAAGACTAATGATACGGGCGCTTATTCTCCTATACATGTGGCACCACTGTGAAAATTCACACTACCAAAGCGTCTGCCTAACCTAAGGTTGTTCTGTGAGATATCCTTTGATATAAAATTACTCTTGAATGACGTTGGTTCTTTGTTGATCAGACTGACAACGTAAAAAATTAAAATACAGTAATAGCCACATTTTATCTCTTTCTTAAAAGACAATTTCTTATCCTACATCAAAAAACATGAAAAGATGTTTGTTTCTGAGCAAGTTTAACATGATGCTACACATTGAAAAGGTTTGCTGACGAAATCACAGGTAGTGCTTGTATCATTAACTCTTTCGTGGATTTCCTCGTGCGCGTAGTGTACACCGATTTATTTGATAAGGAAATCGTAAACAGCTTGGGAAAGTGGCTCAGATCATCAAAGGCCAATTTTTGGATATTCCAGACACTAAAAGAGTAATTGTGACGGATAGTAGTGAAAGCGGAACAGTTCGGTTTCGAGATTTATTTGTAATCAAAGATGAATTCATAAGTAAGTCTAAATTTAACTTTAAATACTATATATGTACTGGAATTAGACCACAAAACAAGAGGTCTATGCAATGGTACTCGCCTGGTTGTCGTACGAATCGGCAGCTATATGCTTCAGGCTCGCCTGGCCAATAAGCCGTATGGCCCATTAGAGCTTATACCTCGGTTTATGCTCTCAACGCAAGAAGGCGATTTACCATTCATTCTAACAAGGAAGCAATTTACTGTCAGACTATGCTTTGTTATGACAATTAACAAATCACAAGGACAATCACTTAAATATGTAGGAATTGACTTGCGGCGTCCGTCGTTTATGCATGGTCAGCTATATGTCGCTCTTTCAAGAGTTCCCTCTCTTTCTGGCATCTCAGTCCTTCTGCCAAAAAGCTCAAATACAACCAACAATGTTGTCTACCCAGAGTTATTGCTTCACTAATATATCCACCGATGTAACACATCATATGATTACCAAACAAATTTACGCCCACAATTATGAATTCTTTATGATTATGCCATTCTTTTCAACATATAAACCTTTACGAATAACACTATTAATTATATGCTCTCTATTATGAATAAACTATAGTTTTATGAAACCGTGTATGTAGCACTTTCGCATCAATAAATAAGCATGCAGAGAGGAGTCAGAGTATGTCATTAGGCGCACAAAAATTCAAATTTAGCCATTTGCTTAATGCTTCGTGTTAACATTTGCCCTTACTCATCACAAAGGGCGAAGTCCTTAAGCCTGTGGCAGCAAAAACAAGCGTAGCGAGTTGGAAGTGGCTAGTTGTGTTTTGTGTACTGAATATACAAACATATAAGAATTTTTAATAAGCAGGTACGTATCACCTGGCATCAATTTGAAGAAATCGAACTGTTGAGAAGAAGCTCACAGAAAACGAGAGTAATTAATGTATGTCAATCAATCATTTAGTCTACTTTCAGATTGAGCTAAAGATGCTGTCACTAGCAAAAACAAAAACAAAATAGAGATGAAGGATAGTTGCGCATTTGGTATGTGTACTTGTAATGCGAATTACAAGTGAGGCTTGCTTCAGTTGTCATCAGTCGATATCTGTGGTGCCACAATTTAGAAGTAACTAGCAAGGACTGATAAAAAGAGAGAAGGGATGATTCTTAACAAAGCTGAGACCATGATTCTTTTTCATATTCGGCTTATGTTCTTCCTAAAGAATGATTTCCATATCTTAACAGTAAACATTGGTCATTATTCTCTAAAATAAAGAAAATAGAACAGTCCGCAGCGACGTTATTTTTAGTGCATAAATATTATTAATCTCAGATTCTGTGCCGGGCCACACGTACCTCACAATGAGGAGGGGGAAGAAGAAACATTACCACATGGAGCCATAGAGGCACCAAAAGGGATACAAAATACACATTCCTTCGCCCTTTTCTTCTTTTTTTTTCTATTTACCTCCTTCATTAAATCATTGCAAGGTAAATAAATAATAGAAGGAGATGGATGGATGGATGAGGAAAAAAGAGACTAAATGAACATTCTAGAATGGCTGACCAAGGTGCTAATAACAACGTCCCTACATTCAAACTTGTTCTTGGTAAATTTGGAATGCAATTATACAAAAATTAAAAATGATGTGATTAACCTCTTCATCATTAGTTGGTGATGGTGGTACCGGCAAGACCACTTTCGTTAAGCGTCACTTAACTGGTGAATTCGAAAAGAGATATGTTGGTAAATAGAGATGACGAATACACTCAAAAATATAACATTACACAGAAAGAACAAAGAAATACTAAAATATTAATTAGCCACCCTTGGTGTCGAAGTTCACCCTCTCCAATTCCACACCAACTTTGGTCCCATCGTCTTCAACACCTGGGATACCGCTGGTCAAGAAAAGTTTGGTGGTCTTCGTGATGGTTACTAGTAAGGAGATACAATAAGAAGATTTTATTAGGTGATAAACTAACTAAATAACAATATATAGTATTCAAGGTCAATGTGCTATTATCATGTTTGATGTTACTTCTAGAATTACATACAAGAACGTTCCCAACTGGCACCGTGATCTTGTTCGTGTCTGTGAAAACATTCCCATTGTTCTCTGCGGTAACAAAGTCGACATCAAGGTATATATCATAAACAAGAGAAAGAACAATAAATAACCCATCTTTTTTTGATTGTAGGAGCGTAAAGTTAAGGCAAAGACCATTACTTTCCACAGAAAGAAGAACTTGCAATACTATGACATTTCCGCTAAATCCAACTACAACTTTGAAAAGCCTTTCTTGTGGTTAGCTCGTAAGTTAATCGGCAACCCTGGCTTGGAATTCGTCGCCGCTCCTGCCTTGGCTCCTCCTGAAGTTGAAGTAGATGCCGGATTGATGCAGCAATACGACAATGAAATGGCCGCTGCTGCTGCTCAACCTCTTCCTGAAGAAGATGATGACTTGTAAAAATAAAAAAAAAGGAATAGTTTTTCTTTTTTCTTCAGTTCTCCTTTTCATTTACTCTACATACATCATACAATAACACCTTCTCACAAGCTTTCATTACACAAAATAAACACTCTTTATATTTGAACTACAATCATGTTTTATTGCACGCAAAAAGACCGATAAAAGAGAATGAGAACAAAGACCAATAGTTTATTTGAGCTTCTTCTTGGGACGAAGTTGGTTGGTGTGACCACACTTTCTCTTACGGCAGTTGGTGGCACGAGGAGGAAGACGAGCATAGCACTTGCGGCAAATCATCTTGTCACAGTTGTACTTGCTGGCCAAAGCCTTCAAAGAGGGTTCAATGATACCACCACGAAGACGGAGAACTAAGTGGAGAGTAGATTCCTTTTGGATGTTGTAGTCGCTCAAGGTACGACCGTCTTCGAGTTGTTTACCGGCAAAGATAAGACGTTGTTGGTCAGGAGGAATACCTTCCTTGTCTTGAATCTTTTGCTTGACGTTGTCAATGGTGTCGGAACTATATGTAAAATGATAATTGTCAATATAATGATATTCTTCACATGTTGATGTCTCAATGTTGCATTCTATTCTCTTTACCTCTCGACTTCCAAAGTAATGGTCTTGCCGGTCAAAGTCTTTACGAAGATCTGCATTGTAAAAACTGATATGGGATTACGTTAGCATCTAATGGATGGATGGATTCATATTGCATTACCTTTATGAGTGGATAGAGGAGGATTAAAAGCTTCCTGCTTTGCATATTAAACTTAACAGCAGCTCCCGTGTGCGGAGATGTGTGTGGTGAGTTGTGACTTGCTTTCTAGTCACCCTATTTGATTAAAAAATTACCAGTCGTGTATGCAGTGTATACATATATCGGTCCTCCCTTCTTTGTCAGCGTAGAGGAAGAAAAAAAAAAGAGAGAGACGTTTGAGTGCCAATAATTATACATAACACTAAATGTGAATCCGAGTTAGTTTATATATAAAAAGAGAAAGACTAAGTGTCAGACTTTAAAAAATTTTGTATGTGTGCTGCCCTTTCCCCCCTTTTTTTTCCCTTTTCTTTTTTATGTGCCAACTTTGTGAACACTTTCCTGGACGATCTGATCAAATCCACTTCTTAACACAATTATTTTATGGAGTAAATATAAGAGAGAGAGTGAGACAAGTATAGATCACTTATTGTCATGTATAGTCTACACCTTCTGAATCCAAACCACAAAGTGTATTTATTTATGGCCCACCATCTACAGGCAAAACAGCAGTTGTAAAGAAGCTCTTGACAGACTTCCCAGAGGCACCTAATCGTATCCTGGCATCTTTTGTTGACTGTGTAGAATGCTTTACACCTCGACTATTATTTCAACATGCCATGGATGGATTATGTCGTCATAAACCCGATGCTCGAAACAACTTTACTTCATACAAGAGAATCGATACAATTCAACAGTTGGTCCGGGCGATCAGTGAAAGTCATATTGGACGCGATGTTCCTGCTTTTCTGGTACATATGCTTTTTTTTATATACACACTTATAAAAACGTGCTGTTTAGATCTTGGATAAAGCAGAGCGTTTAAGAGATCTATCTAGTCATATTCTATCTTCACTACTTCGGCTTTCAGAACTAGTAAGCAAAAAGAAAAAAAAAAAGAAAACAAAAACTTATAAAAACATAGACAGAAACAAATATCAGCGTCATTTTGATATCCAACATCCCCTTTGAAAAGTTTAGAGTTAAGGGGGGCATGATGGAACCATTACTGATACGATTCCCAGCTTATTCAAAAGAAGACACAATCAAGATATTGGAGTTTGACTTTAAATCCAAGACGATTCAGACAGAAAACGACAAGACGGTTGAACTCACACAAAAATTATACAATGGATTTCTCGAAACGATCTATTCCATCTTTTACCACAACTGTAAGGACTTGAACGAACTTCGATACTTTGCCGCTCTCTTGTTCCCCCTTTATATCAAGCCTATCCAAGCAGGCACCGCAGATGTCAATGACGCGATCAAATTGATGAGACTGGCCCAGCCTTATTTTGCCGAAGCCACAGAAAAGCTTTATTTACGAGAGATCTCGAGTGCTGAATGGTCACAAGAAAAGGATCTGAAGCGAAATGTTGCGGGACGAGCCGAATTTGAGTTGCCTTATTACACAAAATTTTTATTGATCGCTGCATACTTGGCCTCATATAACCCTCCGCGATTTGATGTGAGATTCTTTTCCAAATCGGCTGAAGAAAGAGCCAAGAAGAGAGGAGGTGGCTCACGAAAGCGGGTGGATAAGACAGGTGGTAAGATGCGTCAGCAGTTGCTCGGACCCAAAGCATTCCCGGTAGAGCGCATGTTGGCTATCTTTTACAGTATTCTAGATGAGCCATTGGAAGACACAATTGATATTCAGCTACAGGTAATTTATATACATCTTTTTTTACAAACAACAGACGTTTCACACTTGTTTATAGATCACCTCCTTAACTACTCTTCGACTCCTCGTTCGAACTACAGCCATGGATCGATTGGATGGTACAAAGTATAAATGTAATGTCACTTTTGATTTTATTCGAGCAGTAGCAAAGACGGTTCGATTTGAAGTGGATAAGTATCTATACGACTTTTCATAATTGTATGTTTATTATAAGGGGTGACTAGGGTATACATATTAAAATATATATATATATAAAGTGTAAATAAATAACAGCAAGATTAACTACTCTTCTTGTTCTTCTTGCATACTACTTTCAATATTTCTTGCTGTATCAATTAAATGGACAATATCATCTGTTGTACTAGCAAATGACAGAATGAACGGATGCTATAAATAACGTTAGATTGTCATTCATTGATGATTTAATATGTTATACTTTTAATAATGTAGTTGCATCAGGTCTCTTTGCTGGATCTATTGTGGTACATAAACTCAAAAAATCCTTGAATTGATCTGACCAACGATCAGGCTCTTCAAGTGGAGGCAATCCACTGGATGCTATAAGGTAAAGTGCCTACAACTAATGAGTGAAAGCACGTTTTAAATGATATTATAATATCTACTTTGAGTGGTGGTAATTCAACATAAGGAGGATTGTTTTGCGCCATTTCTATAATGAGTACACCGAGACTCCATATATCGACCTTGTGATCATAGTACTGACCCCTGATAAGCTCGGGCGCCATCCAGTAAGGTGTGCCCACAATCGAGTTTCGTTTGGGTTGTAGCTTTGTCAATTGAGCACATTGGCCAAAATCAGCTTTTTGATACATGAATTAAATATACTTTATATCAGTGTTAAAACTTACTTAGTTTAACATCGCCTCTCTTGTTTAATAAAATGTTGTCACTTCTAATGTCGCGATGAATACGATTAAGTTTATGAATGCGTGTTAACGCTCTTAATATGTCTCTTGTGACACGAGCGATCACATTTTCCTCTAGTCTTATTTGTGATCCTTTGTATTCAAGGGAAAGTATATCCGATAACGCCATGTCCATATATTCCATAACAACCTACAACAACATAAGTAACCATAACTACCATCATGCTTATGATCTTACCCAAATTTCATCCTTGGTGACATAGCTTGAAATGTATTCTACCACGTTTGGATGTCTACTCATCTTCATCGTAACTACTTCATTTCTGATCTTGCCTAATTTAATATGTGCCGTCTTTGGTATTTTCTTTATTGCTACCTAAAGTTCTTATAAGCATATGTGTATATCTTTTCTTTTTTTCCTTGTTACCGTTCGATCTGATGCTATATGTTTTGCAGCATACATCGGACCTGATTCACCTTCCGCGATGAGTACAAAGTCTGTGTAAAGCGACTCTGGATCTGTTATTGGATTATCTGCAATATCATCTATATCGCTTTCTGATGTTGTCTTTTTCATTGCCTGTAAGGATGATTTCCTTGAACTGATGATCGTCGATTCGTCCGAGTGGAAAAAGGAATCAGGGCGGTCGATCGTTTTCATGGTCCGCCTTTCACAAGGATGCTTGGTGCCTTTGGAAAGAGCATATTTCCATTCATTTGGTAGACCCTTGAACCCTAGTCCATCTTGATCTAATTCGACATGAATATGATGTTTTACATTATAAGGTTGTCCTATACTGATATCATCTGATGCTTTATAAATAACAGGTGTAAGTATTTTCCTTTATTTGTATATTTGATCTCTTACTTTGAGGTACAAGGCTTGGGTGAATGCATGTGGTATCCAAGATATCATCACTACTAGGGAAATTGGCTTGCCAGACATCAGGTAAACCCTATTAGAAAGAGAGTTAAATTATGTGAAATAGTAGTTTTTGGGTGAAATACCATAAACTTTCCACTTCCATCGTCATATTCGACATGAATGCCATGTTCAAACTTGGTTGGCTTACTAATATCTAATATCTTTTCACCAAACTGGTTCTTCCATGCTGTTGCTTTTGAAGGCATATTTGGAGTTGACATGTTGGGATGAGAATAGAGTTTACTCAGGGTCATGCCTGAACCAAGCCTTCTGATGCCCTTCTTGTAGCGACGATGTGATCTGGTTTCGTGATAATATTGACCATTGGGTGCTGAATAGATGGATGAAGTAGAATTGGTATTTCCCATCTCGAGAAAAGAAGAAAAAGAAAGTGAGAAAGAAAAAGAGAAAGGGTGTTGCTTTGTTGTTGTTGTGTGTTTGTGTCTGAAGAAAAAAAAAAAAAAAGAAAAAGAAAAAAAAAGAAAAAAAAAGGAGTCAAAAATCAATTACTGCCTGCGTTGTTGATTTAAGAATTCAAAATACAGAATAAATACATTTTATTGATACACTTTAACTATTTTACTTTACAATCGCTTTATTTTCAAGAATTGCATTGATTTTTCAATTTTAGTAAACAATATCAGAAGGATCCGTGTGTGTGTATGCGTGTATGTTTATATATGTGTGCGTGTGCGATTTTGCCCGCTTAAAATTAATTTATTGGCTCTCTTCTTTATCTCTCTTTTTTTTTTCTTTTTTTTTTATAGTTTTAAAAATGAGTCAATACAAATTCATTCCTCCTCCACAGACATCCTCTGTCATTCCTATTGTTGCTCCTTCTTCTATTGATGAAAACAACAATAATAATGACAACAACAGCAATAACAAAGAAACAAAAAAAGGTTATTACGAAAGTATGTTTCTTTTACCCTTGATTTGACACATCTTCATATATAGTAGTGAGTTCAACAAGCACAAAACGACTATGTAGAAATGTCATCATACACGGCTATTGTAAATTTGAAAATAAGGGATGCGAATTTAATCATGATACAGTAATTATCACATTCTTTCTTTCTTGTTCAGCACCTAATCACTTTTTAGAATAAATCCATCGTCTTACCACAGCAACAAAATGCGACAAGCCCAGAAAAGTAAGATAGAGCAGAGAGATATATCAGAGACTAACACGGAAATTATTTGTATAATATATAGTCGGTATATAGCAGAACACGTTCACGCGCCTGTGTTTATACCAAGTTCTTTATCTTCTGCAACACAAGGTAATTATTTATTAAATAGAGATTGAAAGCTAATATACGACATATTAGATTCTATTGCTAATACGAATAACAATACTTCCATGTAATATAATCATGTGTATCAAACCAGAAAGAAATATAACTCTCCTTTTTTATACAGTCGAAATCCAGCATATCGATACTCTGCTCCACCTAGCAACAGTAGCAACAGCAACAACAGCAACAACCAATTCAATCAGTTTGGTATTCATGTAAAGCTTTTTTTCTTCTTTTTGCTTGCATAGTGCTTATTCCGCGATAGGTACCCGATTTTGTTCCACAGCAACAAAGTAAATACAACCCTTTGTTATCAAATGGACACATCGACCCATACTTTTATCCTCCTTCTTTTCACCATCAATCACTGGTAAAGAGTCCTGTTATAGACAAGGGAAAAGAGATGATGAACAATTATTAAAGGTAAAAGATGTTCTATAGAACCAGTATCACAAGGTTCCTGCTCTGCTGCCACATGTAGCCAATCTACTGCCTCACCAAAGAGTTGCTCAATCTTTCTTAATACCGGATAACTTGAATGAGCAATTGATTAAGCGACAAGAAGCTGCTATTCAGACCAAATCAGGCAAGTTTATAAATAAACAAAAAAACAAAGAAAAGGAAAGGAGCTTCATAGTAATGGATCGATTAGCGAGAGAGTCTGGGTTGCCCGATGAGGTGCACGTTTATCATTCATTGTATCCTTTAGAGGAAAAGGCAGGTAAATTCTTTGGACATCCTTCATGGCTGTATAAAGCCATCTGTCGCACCAATGGAAAGCCCTATGTCATGGTCAGAATAGAAGGTATAAGGGCAACTAAAGAGGTAAAATGTGCTCATTTAGTTTTAGGATTTCGATTGGTAAATGAACATGCAATGACGATGGTAAAGGAATGGAAGAAGATAAAACATGCCAACATTATTTCAATCAAGGAAGCATTCACGACGCGTGCATTTGGTGATTCATGTAAACTTGCAACATCATGTTTTTTTTTTATTTGATACTCATGTGTTATCATTAGCATTGATATTTATCTATGACTATCATCCATGTTCTATTACCTTGTTCGAGGCATATTTTACACCTCAAGCTCAGGCCTTACTTCATGCTAGACTTCAAGCAACAGGTGGAACTGCCTTGCCTGTGCCCGAAACAACACTCTGGAGTTTTATTACGCAGATTGCTTCGGCATTAAAGACTATTCATGCAGCAGGGCTTTCGGCCAGGACAATAGATATTGGTAAAGTCATCATGACAAGTAAAAATAGGTAAATATATAAGAGTGAGAATGATCTATATATGTCTCTTATATCGATTATAGACTAAGACTGAGTTGTTGTGGTATACTCGATGTACTGCAATATGAAACTGCTTCACAAAAGGCACCCTATTATCAGGTTCAAACAGAAAAACTTTGTGTAAAAAAAAAGAAACTAACCATTACTGTAGCAAGAAGATCTCTTGACGTTTGGTAAATTAATTGTCTCGCTTGCTTGCAATTCGCTTCAGTCCTTTTTGAACTTACCTCAGTCCTTTGAGTATATTTCTACCTTTTACTCGGCCGATTTAAAAAACGTTGTGTTTTATTTGTTAAGCAAGCCATCTCCTTTGAAAACAATAGATGAAGTCATTCGCATGATTGGGCCTCGTCTACTGCATGAAGTGAATAGTACCCAATAGTAAGTGAGCTATGTTATACACACACACACAGACCAGCTGATGCTTTTTAAAGTTATACGGATACTTTAGAATCCAACTTGGGATTTGAATTAGAAAACAGCAGACTTGTGCGATTATTATCAAAGTTTGGATTTATTAACGAACGACCAGAGTAAGTTCAAAAGAAATGATGTATACAGTATATCTTATTCTCCAAAAAAAGATTTAGTGATGACCCAAGATGGTCAGAAACAGGCGATAGATATGTGATTAAGTTATTTAGAGAATATCTCTTTCATCAGGTAAATGAAGTGGGCGTACCTGTCATAGATATGGCACATGTTATTTCATGTTTAAACAAGGTATACATATATCATACCGTTCTATTCATAAACTCACTTCATCTCATTTAGTTGGACGCGGGTGTTGACGAAAAGATTCTACTTACTTCTAGAGATGATGAAACATCGATCATTGTGAGTTATAAAGAAATCAAAGATTGTATAAATTCTGCCTTCAATGATCTTTATTCTTCTTTCCACACAAACAATAATAAAACAAAGTAAACGAAAAAAAAAAAAAACCAAGTTGGCTGATGAGTGTTTTGGTTGATAGCACATAGAGTATTAGTTAAATATACCAGTGTGGTCAATTGAGGACGCGAACGTGCAAGACAAGATCATGTTTTCTTGAAGTAGCTTGATCTTGAGGGTATCAATTTTATGATATTGAAAATAACTATCCATATATTGTCCTATTGACTCAGATCGCAAAGTTATTTTCAATGCATCGATCTTCTTTAGGTTGCGAGATGCACTGTATAGTTGCTATTATGCAAGAGTCAAATTTGAACTTACTCTTGCTTTCAATGAGGGTGCATGTAGACTATTAATACTCTTTATATGATTTTACAGGTGAGCTTATTTATACAAGTGAAAACACTGTGACACCCCACCCCTTTTTATACAACAACACACATGACAAAACTGCCAGCTACGCAGGAACGCGCTTATGAACTCCAGTCTCAGTTTCTCCTATGCTCCTTCGCTCTTCCAGAAGATGCACCACTTTCCCGTCTTCTTCCATTGATCCTCCAACCCAGAAGACACTCCCATTGGTACAAACCCTCTAGGTCTCTCATTTGGAAACAATACTCCTCAACCTTTTTTTTTACCCTTGATCCAATAAGGGCATTTTTAGATAATAATCTCCCTTTTTGACCTGTCTCGGATGGAAAGATATATTATTATTATTATTGTGCACTCAATTGAGACTTTATTTTATTATAACAAGCTTATGTATACAGGCAAACATACGAAAGACATCAACCTGGACGCACAGCATAAGCCACCAAATCAACAGCCAATCATATTCAACGTATAATTTTTTTTTACTGTGGCTGTCAAAAAGTGTTAAAGAAAGGAGCCAGTCAAAGAAAAAAAGGTCTCCTTCTCTCTTCCTAGTATAATGTAAGTTGTGTCTACATGTGTATATGTGGCTTGTGTATTAATGTCAATGTCTAGACACAATGAGTTCCGAATTAGTTTGGGCTATCGTCAAGAACAACAACTCTTTCCTTGTCAAGCGTGACAATGCTCAATTCTCTGCTGAGCCCTCCAACTTGATGAACCTCAACTCTTTCAAGTACTCTGGCATTGCCAACTACAAGGTAAGATATATAAAAAGTAAGTCTATAAATGAGAAACCAACACATATTTCAACAGAATGTCGCCATTCAACCTGCTGCTCGTGGTGTTCGCGTCACTTTGCACAAGGCCAAGAAGGAGCAACTCCCCGCCAAGTCTACCAACACCGTTGTCATCGCAAAGACTCGTCGTCAAACCGCCAAGTCTGTTGCCAACTTGATTGCCCGTGCCACCAAGTACAGACCTGACCTCCGTGCTGTAAGTTTTTTTAAAAAAATTGTATTGTAAGCAGTTATTAAGTATCGTATAGGCTGCTCTTGCCCGTGCCTCTGCTATCATCTCTTCCCAAAAGCCCGTCAAGGCTCAAAAGAAGCGTGAAGCTAAGGGTGTTCGTGCCAACAAGGCTTAGACTGGGTGTGGTGTATATGTGTGTGTATAAATAAAAACGACCTTTTTTTATTTATTCAGGCGCTCTTCAAGCGTTTTTAATCTATTTTCGAGTGTTTCAATCTCTTTGTCAGATTCGATTCTGTATTCTTGAAATTCATAATGCTGCCAAAGTAATTGCCAAGCTAGATTCGTAGTGGATGCCAGAACGATGCATCGGACAAGTGGTGTTCCATAACGATAATAAAATGAGTCTTTTGATGATGAAGTAGAGTAGGCTCGACGTACGACGTGTCGTGTTGTTGAATTGAGGATGAACATTTGGTACAAACACACGCACAGGCAGAAGGGATAAAAAAAAGACAAAAATAAATTTAAAAGTGTATGGGCGCGGAGTCCACAGACCAAAAAAAAAAAATCACTCGGGCCTGCTCAAGGAGTCACAAGACACTGAAAAAAACTCTATGATGAAAACGTCTTGATCAATGTCTTGAAGAGCTGGTTCAATGTGTAGTAAGTGGATAAGACATTCATAATTCTGTAATGGCTATCCACCACTGTTTTTATCTTGCAATATTAGAGACTTTGTTGACCTTCAAGGGGCTTGTTCAGGCAAAAATAAAGCGGGTAATCAGTTGAAAAAGTGAAGCTCCAAGAGGGTCGTGCATATAAAGAGTTTGGATGGCATGCATTCGTGTAATGTGATGGTCCTCATATGTATGGCCGAGGTTTACATTTGGGGAGCTAGCGAATTCATTAATTCCTAGTACGAATGAACACGGATGTCCATAGGATGACCCTGCAACTGAAATCAATCAGCTTCACTTGCTTATTTCGTTGACTAAAAAATAAAACAGGTGATACTGAGATTTCGATTAGAGCGCCTATCCTTTACTGAAATGAACCAACACTAATCTTGATCATGAATAAAACAAATATCAAGAGTATACTATGTTATGTTTACAAGTACTCATGGTAACAACAATTATAAGCTCGACAAAGTAAAGGCTATACTTGATCAAATAAATGATAACATTCTTTACCACAGTGATTAACTACTCTGCCATCACATTGTCCCCCTCTAAGACTTATTGGGTTATCCTTCTACTATTTTATTTCCATATAAGGCTTACTTTTACCCTTTTGACCCTCTTGTATTCATATTCTTCTTCATTGTTATTAAACTCTTTCTTATCGCCAATAAATTATATCCTTTATTATGTTCTTCATCCAGCATACATGAATATCTATGACAATGAATATGTTGTTTGAAGTATGCCGTGTACCTTGGCGATCTACCTTGTTTCGAGCGCCATTTGAAATAGTTTATGCAGACTTCACTCCCTATTTTTTAAAAAAGTGCCATTGCTTTGCTATAAAAATAAGCATATAGTCATTAAATCTATTGCAACCACAGTCGTTTCTAATACCAGTCTACTTTTCGCCAGAAAAAGGGAAAAGGATAAGGATATAACAACAAGGAATAGAAGATAATATTTTACTTTAACTTGGCTAATTACTTACCAGACGAATCCCTTCCTTCTGGCTTTGGGCCCAAGATGTTTATTTAGTACTCGTCTGGAAAATCTAACTTCCATTATGACATGAATGGTGCAATCAATCGTATATACTATGCTGGCAGACTGATGACACCAATCGCGCAGCTGCCGTCTGGAATATACTTGCATCAAAAGATTCTGAATCACTTTCAAAATGGCTAAAGAAGAGTTATCAAAAGTTCCTGAAAAATTGGCACCCAATCTACAGTCAATCGTTGTATCTTGATGATAAATAACTATCGCTACTCGAAATACAGCCTTGGAAGATACTCCAGAGTTGTGATGACGCTGTTTATATTCCAGTTGGTGGCCACTCCAAGTTTAAATTGCATGGAAGCAATCAAGGTCCCGGTTGAGCTTGTCAGCCTTGCAAATCTTAAAATGAGCTTATCGGTAATTACGCAATGTAACAGACCACCAGAGAGAGATGTTTTACAACTCAAGCCTATTCTGCTATTTATCTGGAAAGTAGTAAATGAAAAATAGCGTATACTATATAGATGTTCGTTCTTTCATACGCTCATGTGACCAAGTCTTCCACTTTAGAGGCTGAGGATATCATCTGTTGACGCCTGTATTTTACTAGTAAAAATTACCATGGGATAATTGTATTTTTTATTTGGCAATTATTTGATATCATTGCTGTCCGTCGTTTATTTCCTTATTGAGTTTTCCTGCTAACCAAAGAGATCATTTTAAGACTAACTTTTCAAACTGTCTTCTTTACTCAAGCACCCATAGTTCAAATATCAATAAAAGCTCAAAGAATATAAACAATTAGAGGAAAAACTGAAATTTTTTAAACGTACTTGAAGAAGGTCCCATTTGTTCACAACAATGATTTTTTATCAGAAAATAAGTTATCTCTTACAAGTAACTTAAAACCAGTGAAAGACAAAAAACCGCGTTTTGGGCAGAAGAGAAGAAAGTTTTATTACAAAGCTATCAAAGCTTTAAAAAGATATAAAAAAAAAAATAAAGAAAGGAAAAAAAAAAGCATGCATCTAGCAGCTGAGAAGCTTTCGCTTCTTTGGAGCTGATGGTTGAGCATCAACCCCTACATTATCACCATCCAACCTTCTCTTAGGTCTGGAGGTTTGCTGTTGAAGCGACTCCAGCTTCCACTGACTAGCAGTGTAGGCTGACAATCTACGGCATTTTTCCGCATGGAACTCCTTCTGTAACTCCAGCCTAGCTGCTTCAATGTCTAAATATTTTCTATGACAGTATAAATAGGTTAGATATGAAGTAAAAAGATGTGGTTTTATTTTTTACCTTGTCAACACAGACAGTTTTTTTTGTTCGGGCAGACTAGGCTTATTTCCCCTCTTTTGGAGGAGCCTCTTTAATGAGAGGATTTTTTGATGGGTTTTCTTGAGCGTCTTGTTCATTGTGTTTGCTTGCGCTTTGAATTCGGCGATGCGATCCATTTTTTGATAAAGTAATGAGAAAGAAAAAGAAAGAAAAAGGAAGAGGAGAAAAAACGTATTTTACTTTGAATAGAAAATAATTTCTCATGCGTGTTCCTCCCTTTTTTTTACGTGTTTCATCTTTTAGACTAGTGAATAATAATAATAATAATAATAATGAATCACTT